TTGTAGCCCCTTCAGGTACTGGAAGGTGCTATAAGGTCTCCCCGGAGCCTTCTCTTCTCCAGGCTGAACAAGCCCAAGTCTCTCAGCCTGTCCCCATAGCAGAGGTTAGTGGTGGACTTGAGCACCTAAGGCAGAGTTCCAGGTTTGGACAACTCCACAGTGTATCAACAGGCCAAATTAGTCCAGGATTTACATTTGTTTTAACTTCTTTGCTTATTTTTCAACAGAATTTAAAAAGACTGACAAAAGTATATTAGTGAGCCCAGAAGGACCCTCCCGTGTGGCTTTCAATCCTGAACAGAAACCCCATCATGGGGTGCTGAAGTCCCCCACTGGTACCCTAGCAGGAGAGCCTCAAGTGAAGAAACGATTTGTTGTATCAGCTCAGAAGAGACGATGAACTTTTAAACCAACAGACGTGGCCTACTTTTGTACAGGACATTTTGCTAACCTTGAATGTTCTCTGGAGCTATTTTGAACTACTTTATTTTTTTAAGTTAATGCAAATTATATATACAAGCTTCAGATTGTGTGACCTGGGTCATTGCCATTTTGGCACCACTTCAGCCGTATCTCAAAATGCTTGTTTTGTCTATTTACAGAAAAGAAACAAAATCCAGTCTCCGCTCAGGTTTGGTCTACAAAAAGTACGGTCTCTGCCCATGTTATCCCTGAGAGACTTGTTCATTTAATTAAGGAACGTTCAGGGTTTGATTGTTCCGGATGTTTTATATTTGTGAGGCTAGTTCAAGGAAACTTGTACTTCATGCTATTAAACTGTCCTTCATTGAACAGGGCTTCAAATGGAAGAAGACAACGTAGATTTTAAATCTGCTGGTTGCTCATGTATTTTAAAATTTTACCCCATCATTTTTCATGTGTTACCCTTGGCATCCTGTTAATTCTGCTTCTTGAAATAACTATTACCTCATGTCTCTGTTTAAGAACAGATGGACTTCGGTAGCTTTACAGACCATAAGCAAGCTTTCCTGGGGATAAGGCATGCCTGGCTGCTCAGGCAGTCGCTGTTGCAAATAAACCTTCACAGCTGGTTGCCTGCGGAGTTGGGAACAGTCGCCAGGTTGTTTTCAGTAACACAAGTGCCAAAGCTGACTTACGCTGGCCCTGCTGTAAGCTGGCTTCTTCTGTTTACTGTAACCGAAAAAATGCTCTCACGTGGGAGAAATCTGTGGTATTTCCAAGTCTTCCCCCTGACCCCCACTGCTGACTTTACTGAAGGTCTGACAAGACTCCTAGTTTTCTACTTCAGCAGCTGGTGTCACCACTTTTTACCAGAACTGGGATCTCATTCAGTGAATGAACCTCTGATTGTCCTATAGGGAGCGAGATCGGTGTCGTGCGTCTTCAGTTAGGACACGCATCACTCTCTCAAAGCTTTGGTGCCTCTCAATACAGGGTAAAACTGTGCAGCCCAGACAGCTTGGGTTGGCTTTTGATGTAGAACCAGACAAATTCTTTCTGCAGCATTTCCTTCAGTTTTTATTTGGATATTTTATTAACTGCTGTGCACATTTTGGTTTGTTCCTTGCTTCTTTGGTAAAGAAGTAGGTTTGCTTCTGTGGGAGACCAGTAACGTGTTCTGAGGGGGAACTGTGAGGAAGGGGAGAGCGGATGAAAATAAAAACTTCTTTGGTATGGTTGGAAGATTGGAAATCTTTCTTTGGGTGTTTTGCATATGCAAATGAGGCAAAGGCTTTGCGGCAGATCTCCACGTTAGAGCTCAGCTTCAAAGCACAACCCTGCTGCCACGGCAGAGCTGTTCATGAAGCTTCCCACTGGTTTCTTCTGCGATCCTATAAGTGAGAGAGTAGGCCTGCTTTGTCACCTTTCCTTACAATAACTGGTAAACATTTAGCTACTTCAGCCAGCAAAACTAAGATTTTGTGACATATGTGCATACTTCAGTGCTATGTTTAGCAGTCTGGGATGTGGACCCTCTTCTGCCAGATTGCTCCTTGTAAGCAACTGAATTGAAACTGCTCTTCAGTAGCTCTTCTAGAATTTCTCCTGAATAACTTGTGTACTTGCAGATTGCTGGTTGGTCTCAATTGGATCAATTCTAATCTGTGCCAGTTCTTGCACTAACTTTGCGATGGTCCATGGTTTGTGGTACCGCCAGAAAGTCATTTTGCTCTTGTCTTTTCTCATTTAAAGTGAAGGACTGAATTTAATTTGGCTTTGGTTTAGTTTGTATTGGTTTGACTGATCAGTAAAGAACTCTGGAGAGTACGTCTGATAAAATTGATAATACTTGCTGTTTGAGCAATTATTGTTCATGTGTTTTTTTTTTTTTTTAAATCGCGTTGTATATTAGCATAATGCATTTATTCAAGAAGGCGTAAGTAGGATTTAACAAAGACTGTCCAATATGTTGTACTGTTTATCTCGTACTGTGGGTCAGACGTCTCTTGTGGAATATACATAAAAGCATTTGTATGTGCATGGATGTTGATGCATTAGGTTGAAGATCGCAGAATCACAGAATGGTTTGTGTTGGAAGGGACCTTAAAGACCATCCAGTTCCAACCCCCCTGCCATGGGCAGGGACACCTTCCACTAGACCAGGTTGCCCAAAGCCTCATCCAGCCTGGCCTTGAAAGATGCCACCTTCCTCCAAGGATATAGATGGAAACAATCAGTAGGTAGATCTGGTGTGCAGTCAGGTTGTTATCTGAAATTTTAGTGATGTGGTTGCTTTTTGGGATTCATGCATAAGCCATCTGTGCCCTGGAACTGGTGGAATGTTTTGTAAATATACATATGTAGTGTGTATTGTCTTCAGTGGTGTCTGGAATTCCATTCAGGGCAACTTCACAAACAAAACCCAAGCACTGTCAATGCAGTTTAATCGGCATTGTTGGGTTAAATTGAATACATGAACCGAAATATTTGGATAGTGACAATTCTGGTAAACATTGAAGACCAAAAAAAACCACCAAACCACACCGAGAAAGAAATGTAACATCTGGGATATCCACTGCACAGACAATGATGGTACTGTAAGGAGGGATGGATCGATAGGAAGAAGAGAAATACTGATCTGACCTGTTTGGTGTCGCTTCGTGGGGTTTTTTTCATAGTGTTATTCCAACTCTACAGCTGCCAATCATGCTCTGAGTCCCAGGAGGTTGATGTGGCTGTACCTTTTAAAGGATGGCATTTTGTAACCACGGTCTCTACATTTTTGTGTTATGAACCCTATCGACTTTACACTTCTCAAACTCTAACAGTTTATAATTCTTTATAGCTTCAAGAGAACTCAGAAGCACAAAATAAATTCAGCAAGGCAAAAAGTTGAGATTATATTTAAATTATTCGTTATGCAACAACTTTTTATAGTCTGTCAAAGCTGTGTGACTTGGAAAGCATCAAATGCCCTTTTTGTCATTTATTTCCTGTGCTTAGACATAATTACAGGTGGGGAAAAAAAAATCCATGTGTCGTTTTATGAACCTCTGCAACCGCCTTGTTAATACAAATACAGTGTCTAAGCAGTTACCTCATTTAGTTTAGTCCAATAAACAGTCACTTTTTGTGGACATTGTATTTTGGGCCAATCTGTAAATTTGGGAGGTGGGAAGGTAACTGGGTAGTATTAAAGGTACAAAGGAAGTTTATCTTCATGCACGCACGTGCTCTCTCTCTTTATATTTGTATTGTGTAAATAACCAAAACTGATGGAGGCTCAGATTTGTGTCAGAGTTGAGTAGGGTTGTGACAGGATACAGCCTTTCACATACCTTGAGCATCTGGCCCTTGTGATCGGGCCATGGAGTAGATACCAGCAGTGAAAGGTTGCTTGGGAGAAACAATTAGATCACATGGTGTCGTTCCTTGATGATTAAAATTGGTAAGCAACAGGATAATGTGGCGAGATGTGTACTTGAATGGTATAATTGTGCAGGTGCCGAAGTAGGAAAGAGGTGGACGCTCTGAACAGAAATGCAAAAAACTTTACTCGGGCAAAGTAAAGTGACCTATCCACAGCAGTGGCCCAAGTAAAATTAAACCATAAATCAACAGGTAAAAGGAAAACAGGTTTCCTTCAGAACAAAGTCCTGTAAAAGTGACATTCTTGTGACATGTTTAAAGTAACTCACACATCTAAGTTTCCAGGTGGTCGTACATGTTGGCAGGGTTGAAGACCACAGTGATAACATCATTTAATTTAGTGAGTGCTGCGTGCGCTTTTATGTTATGTGGCGTCCAGTGGAAATGGCCATTTGGACTTCAGCGGTGGGGCCAGGATACGACTTACTTGCAGTACTTCGCGCCGCCTTCACACTGTGTAGGATCTTGTTCTGCCTGGTGGAGTGCTGTACAGAAAAACTTGTAGTGCCTGCCCTGAACACACCCCGAGGGGTCACTGTAAGAGTTGGTGCCCCTCATGGTTCTTTGTGGCATTCGCGCAAGCAGGTTGGACCTGGGTTGGCATTCCAGTGATCCATACTGGCTGTGGTTTCCAAGAAAGCAGAAAAAGTCTTGTCTGCACAACACTCTGCAAGGTAACACATGTATATTTTTTATTTTATTCCCATCATGCAAATGGAAGAGAAACATAACTCCTTTTTCACGATTAATGTCATCTGTCACAGAATCACAGAACTGTTTGGTTTGGAAGGGACCTTAAAGCCCATCTAGTTCCAACCCACCTGCCATGGGCAGGGACACCTTCCACTAGACCAGGTTGCTCAAAGCCTCATCCAGCCTGGCCTTGAACACTTCCAGGGATGGGCCATCCACAGCTTCTCTGGGCAACCTGTTCCAGTGCCTCACCACCCTCTCTGGGAAGAATTTCTTCCTGATACCTGTTGTAGAACTAAACGTTGAACCATAGAAACAGCCCTTCCTAGGGAAAAAAAAAAAAAATTAAAAATGTACGGATTTTGTTACTTGACCATAAGACTGCAACAGTTTCTTATGATACAGTTGTTAACGTGGTATTTCTGTGGTCTCTGAAATAACTTCGGCCTATTCCTTCTGCTGCGGTCAGGCCTCTGTGACGGCTGCATCTAAGATTGTATCAGTCCTCACTCAGGTAAAGGGTTTCTGCAAATGCAGGTCAAAGAAAGCGTACCCCCTCGGTGAGCAAGGCGAGCAGACTGGTAGCGGCACACGAGGAGAAGGCAGAGGAACTCAGCATTTCTGCCTCAGTCTCCACTGGCAGCCTCTCTGCCCACACCTCTGGAGCAGAGGGACCGCAGGATGGGGACTGAGGGAGCAAAGCCTCTCGCGCTGTAATTGAAGATCAGGTTTGTGACCTGCTGAGGAACCTGAACATACAGAAGTCTATGGGACCTGATGAGATCTATCCCAGAGCCCCAGGGAATCGGCTGATGCAGTTTCCAAGTCACTCTCCATGACATTCAAAAAGTCATG